GATGAGCCCGAAGAAGGGCGAAACCGGTCGTGGGCTGTCGATGGATTTTCAGCAACCTTATGAGTAGTTTCCTCTATGAAAATATACTGCGATATTTCGAGTATCGTACCAACTGAAACATAAGGCAGCCTGTGTGCACCACATTGAGTTGCAGAACATCATGAACGAGAGATTCACTTGAGTCTCCCGTGAAAACCAAATTGATTTGGATATGAGTGTATTTGTCGCAAGCTAATCTATTATTTAAAATGCTATCTCAATCTTTCGGGATACGTTTGTTGTGAATGAAACCAAAACGAAGAATCATCTACTCCACTGATTGTTTCGCTGACAATGATTTCCTTAGGGTGAGCTGATCCAGTCAGCCGCAACAAGCTGACAAAGATTTCAACAGGGAATTTTTAAGTCAGCCGCAACAAGCTGACAAAGATTTCAACAGCTTCTGGAATTTTTATACTGACCAGTGTAGAAAAACACCCAGCTACTAACCCTACACAAGTCAACCTGTCCGTAGCAATCCGAAATACGTGCAAACACCAGATGGTGCAGCATTTAACCAATCCCATATTAATCACTCAGCGACAGTGCCGTACCACATCTAACTGACTGACTGAACGACGGCAATTAATCGCGGGTGATTTATCGCAGGCCAATTTATTGCTGAGGCATGCAAGTCAAGCAGGCGGATAACTGCGCCTAACTCGCGCATTCTGATGCGGAATTCCAGCAGTTGTTGATGTTCGATTCAGTGACCTGTTGCTTTGGTCTAAAGATAAATATTTCTTATCCTTATCGGCTTTATCCTTTGTCGACCTTTCACCACAACACCAAGAATTATACGAACTAATTGGAAGCTACACGGATTTCTACTATCTGCTAGCGCAGTGACAATGGAGTGAGCGAGCCGATTGCGAAAGCCGCCGTAACTGGTCGCTTTCAGGGACGCGTCTACAACAATTATTACTTGTACGTAAATTGTTGTGCTGTCTTCACCACTGTATGACAGCGACATAGTGCAAAGACTACATGTTCGGGTTCTTGACCGACTTTACTTGCATTACCTGCGCAAACTCCTCCTGATCAAATGATGGAAGTCTTTCGAAATAGTCTGATGCGAAACTGGCCTTTATGAAAAAAGACCTGAAGCTAGCGAAACACGCTCATTTGCAAACTAATTTGGTTTTGCGAGAGACTCACCTGGAACCCAGGCGCCTACCTGATGAGCCCCAAGGAGGGCGAAACCGGTCGTGGGCTGTCAACGAATATTCAACAACATTATGAGTTGTGCATTACGAATAGACCTGAAGCTAGTTCTACGTCAATGGTGAAGAGCTACGGTCTGTCTAGGTACGAGTTAATCACATTAATGACCAGTCAATCGTAGCCAAACCGTGTAGTTTTTGAACACTAGCAAGGATGCTGCTATTCCAAACCACTGAAAAATCGTGAGATGTGTACTGCTGATGATGACTCCTAATAAAGATGAAGGGGCTGTGCACTGCACCTTGGTTTTTCGGCATACTGCCTTCACCTAAATGATGATATATCCATTTCAGCGCTATAATTGGTCACTTCTGCCATTGAAACCATTATGCATTGGGCTTCGAGTACAATAAGAGATCTAGGTTGATGATTGACATGATCACTAGCTTATGTTCCCATCACCACACAGAGATGCTTTCGATATTGCCAGCGTTTGAGAAGGCCCCAAAGGTCCGAAAATTTACAGCTTGATCAGCCTGTGGAAGTCAAGTTCGTGAATGTCTATCCATATTACTGGATAATCGTCATTTGGGTGTGTAAAATTCTTCCAATCGACAACCAGCATATCTCCCATGTGTAGGAGTCTGGTTCCCGTCACTAAGACTGGAGGAAAACTATGATGTCGTATTTTACAGGTGGAATCAAATTCGAACTCTGTTGAGCTGCACAATCATCTAAATTCCACTCACAAGTTCCGGTGTCTGTTGTGTCCAGGACTGATCGAACGGGGGTGTCGGATAGACGGGATCATGATGCATTTCGCGCCACGAAGGAACAATCACCAAGTGAACATCCAGATGACTACAGTATTCTGCCACTGAATTGATTCGGGTGTGGAAAAGCTCCTCGTAAGTGGAATCGTGATAGGCCTTTGTAGGGAGAGTTAAACAACGGGGGAAAGGTAAATAATCCGTTTAGAAGCATGGTTAAATTATCAGTTTTTGGGTTGTGAAAGGCACTTAAAAAAACAAATTGGTGAGCAAAACATCGATCGAAAATAGTGTAGCCGGGGTCGTTATTTTTCAATTGACTTACGAAAACACAGCAGCCAAGGAAATCCCAAGATGACAGAGGTCACAGGTGCCCACGTTGCTGACAATGCTCACTTAAACAAAGGTGACGGATAATGCTGTTGCTCACACTCGTTTACTCGTTCAGCACCGTTTAACATCAGATTCCATTGATAGTCACTTGTTCTTGAAACCCAACAGGAACACGTGGAACTTCGGCTTAATCAACCCGAGGCGTCCACCAGTCGGTGGAAGGACAGTGAAATCCAATCAGGTCACCTCCTGTTGCTCTCATGAGGATAGTCTGAAACATGAGACAACTCCGATTTCTCAAACGATCTCTTCCCATACCGTTGCATTCATTTCACGAGGTCAGATTTGGTAAGTTGAGTCAGTTCTTTGGATCAATTACAGTTTTCACTTCACACCTCTTGAACGATGCTTCCAACATGTGGTTCTTGCAGGGAGGAATTCCAAAAACCTTGTGTGTAGCACAAAGGAATAGGAATTTATCACCCACATCGTTTCAGTGTGTTTCTTTCCTGCTGGGATTTTCCACAAAACTTGACACACTGCAGAAATTGGGACGTGAACTGCTGACAGGGAGGGTTAACGGTTCGAATGCATACCAGGTTCATGGACCCATGTCTAGGTGTCGAAAACCTAAGAATACATTTGCGTCCCGACAGGATGCAAGAGTGTTACGCGTCAAAAACACTCCACAGTTGATCCATTCAACTTGATTACAAGAATACTCCATATGACAACTTTTTGGGGGTCAGGAAATTCAGGAAGAAGAATTTCACCAAACACAGCAGCAGCACGTTCTATTTCGAACCTGAATAGTAGACGATCATGGTAGCTCTTAGGTTATATGGTTCTATGTGGCTCCAGGTGGTTCTAGGTGGCTCAGTGGTTAGAGCGCAAATTTACTGACCACGAAGTCCGTGGTTCGAACCCGACCTCTGCCTCTCGAATCCCCCTGTCTAGGCTTGAGCAACCTGGCAGTAGTCCAGCCCTCGTGCTCCTTTTTGGTGGCATGGCAGCTAGGCACCGAAAGGACGTTACAGCTAAACGATCATTTTCATTATTATTACTACTATTATGTAAAACCGTATGGATTGGCAAGTCATTCAACTCCTGATGATCCCACTCTCAGTGTTAGGAGCGGTAGGTAAAATATAAGTCCTCCAAAGTTAAAGTTGCCTACGAATTTTAATCGGAACCTGGTGCCGTAAATGAGTAGTGTGATATCACAAGATCAGTTCCCTTGAAGTCACCTCTCGTCCAACGGTATTCTGTAACTAACACGAAATTCAGCGCACCGGTTAGAAAATGACGATCGCCACAGACCACAGATAAGTGACATACCATGTTAGGGATAGTGAATTCCATCTCCATTAGCGGTGCGAAAGAACCTCAAAGTGCTCATATAATTGTTTTTACCTTGTGCGTTATGATGGACCCCTTTTCGAAACTCGGCGAAATTGGTTATGATTGGACAACACAATTCATTTGAAAACAGCGGTTGTGCTTGCGACAGGCATAATCTAAAGACCCTAGCCTAGCTGTCGTTCAAACGATGTGGACTACATAGACAAGGTACTGAAATGAGGCCTAGGAAAGCGTGCAGAGTTTGGCAATTCCGGTCTTCTAATAATGAGACAAGAAAGCCTGATTTGGGCGGCAGTGTTGACAAAAGGGTTCGTTCCGTCAACTAATACAAGATTATAAAACAAGTTACCCGGTCAGCACGACCGAAAATTCCGCTAACCTATATAACAACTATTTTAATCCCTTCGCCCGACTGATATATCTTAGTTACAGAAAATTCATAAGTACACAAACCATCAGATAAACGGCTCTTTATCGGGAAAGAGCATTACGCAACAGCTCTCAAAGTACAGAGAATTACCAACAAAATTGCATCCACTTCAATCCACATAGGAATCCATCAGGATTATCCTTAACTTAATGCGTCATTTTGGCTTGTGCTGCAAAGAAAAGTGGTGCCTACTCACTTTACCCTGATTTGGGTCTGTTGTTGGGCTACCTGTGAGTGGTGTGGACTACCATTCGATCTTTCTTGAGTTATCGAATTTGCTGCTGAATACCTCACACTGGATCACCGTTACTCAGAGTAAAGTCTGGTTTGCATTGGGAATATTTAACGGTACTCATAAAGCAAACATTCTCTCTCACTCCGTAATTGCCCATATGTCCTCCATGTAAGCAAGCAGTCAGTACCAAAAAGGACTCCGTCTACTCATGAATTTCACTTGAGTCGATATTTGCGGAACTTTGGTAACAACGAAAAACCGTTCAGCTGTAGCACCCTTCCGGTGCCTGGCTGACATGCCAAGAGAGGGAGTTGCGAGAGCTGGGATACTGCAGCCCAAGCCTAGACAGGGGAAGTCGAGAGGCGGAGGTCAGGTTCGAACCACGAACCTTACAGTCAGTAAATTCGCGCTCTAACCACTGAGTCACTCGCCATTTGTGACACATGCTCCCCGATAACGCATCACGGTGGTTGGCAAATCGGGACAAAAATGTGAACGACGCGGTGACTTAGAACGATGGGTTGAACCCACTCCGCTGTATCCGCTGAGGTATCTTTACCGCATGTTCCTGCCTGCACGGTCGTATAGTACTCCGCGAGCAGGCGTACCGGGATAACGCGTCACCTGATCTACAAGCCTGACAGAATGCAGAATAAACATTACTCGTTTGGCAGGAAAACGACAAGCCAAACGACCGAATTTCCCGCAGGCCATTCAGCCAAAAACCACTACGGGGACTAATAGCTAGTTGAATTGAAGCAAACGAACGCGAGAAACAAACAGCCCCTGGCGAAATGGACCAAGTAGTTAAAGCGCGAATTTACTAACCGGAAGGTCCGTAGTTCGAACCCGACCTCTGCCTCTCAACTTTCCCTGTCTAGGCTTGGACAACCTGGCAGTATCCCAGCCCTCGAGCCTCATTCGTGTGGCATGGCGGCTAGGCACCGAAAAAGTGCAGGAGCTGAACGATTTTTTTATTCGATTCCTCGTGAACAGAGAGCACGAGGACCCATTACGATGATCGTCTACACTTCACTAACATTGTTAACACGACCGATTTGCCAGACAACGTTAATGGATGCTTACTTGTACAGCTGAGTGTTGGCAGTCGACGAACGGGCCAATCATAATGAGGACATGCGGTCGATTCTTCTTCACAGCACGTAATAACGTCAGCAAAAGAGATGGATCGTTTGATTCGGACAAGGTGTACGGTCCACAGGCAACCATCACATTGAGGGCTACAACAAAGACAGATAAGGAAACGGAACGAACAGAAGTTCATCTCGTTGAGCCAGAACTTTCCAACTGAAGGATAGTGAGCGGCTATTACAAACGGAAGTCCCTCAGAAGCAATAGCATGAGGTAACGCAGACGGACCAAAGACAGAATTAGTAGAAAGTAATTCCTTCCGTTCGAAAGGACGCCGGAGGGAGTTGACGCAACGCCCAGCTCTGGGAATCCCAAATCGAGGAGTCATGTGTGAGCAGTGGCCAGGGTAATATCCACTGGTCTTTAAAAAACAAGTTTACAAACACTGGTTTGGCTGCAGTGTCTAATATACATGCGGCCAGGATTTCTTTCTACGCATGTAGAAAAACAGGCACTTATTGTTCACAAACTTATTGGGTGTTATCCTACGCATATCGCGAGACGATAAAGACACCCGATTGCCCGTCGTTCCTCAAATTGAAGATTGGAAAAAAGGAACAAACAGATGGCTCTACAAGCATTCCGATAAGACAAACAGGGAATATTGGACGAGGTTTGTCCCAAAGATAAATCGGGACGAGTCAGTACCATAAAAAAGACTTATTTACAGGAGTTGGAGAATCGATAACAGCGTCAACCAAAACATCGTCCACAGACGGACCGAATAACCGTTTTCCCGTAGATTGTGCTGGGGAATTACAATGCAGTGCGTAATTACCTTGGTAGTTATGACAAACGTTTGGTCAAGTCCAGTCGAAATCTTTTCTATGAAAAATACAACAACCACTATCAGGTGCTCTTTGAAGACGGTGGGCTAAGTTGGATGGAAAAAGGAACATTTGAAAAAAAATCGGTAAGTAGCTAGAACGAAGCAAGACATGTTACCACGGTGGTCCTTTTTTTAAAGATTCCCACCAGAAAACTGCTGAACGTACCGTTTTTAGGTGGTGAGTATTTGGAGGTGGAAACGATGGGTGCCTAAAAAGTAGATAGTAATAAATGACGGGAAAGAGGGATGATAAGACAAAGGAGAAACACGAAAGTAAGAAACCTGTGCTGGATAAGGTAAGTCGTGTGGTAAAGTCTTCAGCTGATGCCTTCAATAAGATATAGTATAAATCAGAAGAAAGATGAATGTGGTCAGTCCCGATAAAAAAATCTGACTGAATTTTGTGTGACCACAGACAACTCCAAAGAATCGACAATGAATGCCCACTGAAGTTACATCAGTGCAGCACGGGTAATTTACATTGATACCGATGTCTTGGCTCAATCGAACTGTAAAAATCAGAAGGATCCTTCGTCAGCGACCAGGATATACAGTGAAATCGGTTTGGGTAGTGTTTCACCTACTCTTCTCAACGTTGTCCAAAAAACTGACGGTATATTTCTGCACTTGAAGACGGCCAAAATCTTAACACGGTCTGAGAGCTCTCTTTCATGCTTTTTGCACAACGGAAAGAGACACAGACAAGCCTTCAGAACTGCGTAATTCACTGCAATCACTACAATGTACGGACAAAGAACATGGCTTTCTTACTCGACGATCTAAGACACCTTTCATCTGCTTATAAAACATGCCCTGAACGAAGACCCAAGCTTCATAACTCTTCTTCACGGCAACTGAGTAATGCCACTCAGTTCATTCCCCACGATCAATCGTAATCTCTTCACCACCAGATTCGTATATGCATTCCCCTGTCCTGAAATGCCTACCTACACTGACATCAGCTGCCTCAATCGACTATTTTTAATCTCTGGGATATCGAACAATCTGATAGGGATTCGTCACTTTTGTCCGCGGGAGCTCATTAAACTTTTGTGTGGCAAAGTGGTGGTCAGTTTGAACGGCTAGGTGAGACTCCTTGGGAAAACGTGTCCCCCACTGCAAACTGGAGATCTGCGTCGGGAAATACACTAAATTGGTCTCACCTGGACACTCAAATGAACCCCAACCGCATGTCCCGTTTATGATTTCCTTCAAATTAGTGCGATACACAAAGAGCGCCTCATGTTTCAGTTAGTACGATATTCGAGATAGGGTAATATATTTCTTTGGTGGGACATAAGGCTGATGAAAACTATTCAACAGCCCTTTTTGGAGCTCATTCGGTAGCGTACTTCCCGTCTATGAATCGTCCTACCACGTATTGGGAAACAGTTGTACTCGATGCTCCGCACTCAGTGAGGTCACCTGTGCGTATGACTACCCATTCTACACCAGATGAGTGTATGTCCCAGAACGTGGGGCGTCTGATGACCTGCATTGTCCATCCGGTTGGATGTTCCTGGGTGCATTCCCCTGAGATGTGAAGGCTCGTCGAAGCACGACTCACTCCCTGAGATGTGAAGGCTCGTCGAAGCACGTTCCCGTGAGGGAAGTGGAACTTGTGGTATGCAACCCGGTATATTCTCATATTGTGCATACCGATGACAAAAAGTAAAAGATTCCCGTTTGTCGTTCATATCCAATGGGGGCGAGATGGACCAAGTGGTTAGAGCGCGAATTTACTGACCGGAAGGTTCGTGGTTCGAACCCGACCTCTGCCACTCGACTTCCCCTGTCTAGGCTTGGGCAACCTGGCAGTATCCCAGCCCTCGTGCCTCCTTCGTATGGCATGGCAGCTAGGCACCGAAAGGGTGCTACAGCTGGACGATTTTTTTTTCGATTCATATCCAATAAACACGGAAACATGCAATTCACTGAGGTCGCCGGCAATTTTGTCACGATTGGAACAAACAGACAATTCGAACAATTCGGATGCTAGCACAGAGACCACAGTGTATCCACAGGCAGATCTCAACCTTCACCTTCAAAAACCAATATAATCTTATCCGAAGTTGTTAATAAAACAACAACTCACAAATTACCATTCGCCAAGGCACAAATCCAATCAAGTCTGGGGTGGATGTCGTTCCCCCCCCCCCCTATTTTATTCCGGTACTTTATTAGTCATTTCCCATTTTGGGTTCTAGCTGGCACGTGTTATTAACCGAGTTAAATGCTGGACATTCTTTCGCTTCACGTTTAGTTGGGGCCGTAATCTCCTTCATACTCCTTGACCTGTCAAAGGGGTATGAAGGAGATTACGAAACGCTTGGGTGCTGTCGGTGCTACTCACCTTCCAGGATGGGAACCGCATGATTCTCACTGCGCCTTGTTGGAGACTCTGCAAGATATAGCTGCTAACGGATGTCAGTGGCGTTCTTGTTGTCAGTCTCCATCCACATTGCCTGAATGAGTGTCTGGAGCTGTAGGCACCTCAGAACGATTCTGTTAAACTAGCACAAAGTCTCTTCCTCGTTCATCTTTGTTCTTTTCACAATAAAGCTTTCAAACAAACCATGGTTGTACGAAAGCGAAGCATCGGTGTTGATGTCATGCTGTCGACGATGATGGTGATAATGATGATGATGATGATGATGAGAAAGGGCATCATACATGTTCGGTGCCGAATAAGCTATCTCTCGTGAAGTAAGTGTCGCTCCCTAATTTGTTGCGGTTCTAAATATCCTCTAGCTGTAAAAAGTTTAGAAGAACCAGAAGGAAAATAGCAACGGTGATAAATGCACGGCTCCTGCTAAAGCTGACTCGTCATAATCCTACATGTTAGAACCTGACAAACAGCTGGAAATGCTACAGCGGACGCCACTTGAATCATTTTAGGGTAGTGTCCTCTTGTAAATAGGCAAATGCCGAACTTATCTCACAGCATACAAGTGGATATAGGATATCCTCGTACAGAACAATTGGGTGGAGAAAAACCGATGCTACAGGAGAAACAGTCATATGGATCGACAGACAGAACTCGGAACCATCAGAGATTTAGCAAAATTAGCTACTTACAAGCGTGTCCAAAAAGCTATTTGGGGGCGTTTGTAGAAGATAGAATACAAAAAACTGAAAGTTGAATGCAAGAAAGTCACCGTTTTCGTAATAGACTCACTCAAATCTCGAGTCTGGAAGCTTCACTTGAGCATGTAACCTGATAACAACTGACACATATTAAGCTTGACTTATTTGGTTGGCTCTCCTTCTGCCTTAAACCTCAACCAACCTCGTAACTTAGTCACTTGGCCTGGTGAAGATTCTGTGTCAAAAGCGAAACGCTGCCCAGCAATAAATTTACCGATTGTTACCAAACCTTCCCGAAAACTCTTCTTCTTTTTCTGTAGATATACTCTTGAAGAGGATGGGTCAACCACATATAGATCATCAAGTGCTTGACGGAAAAACGTCGCCGATGTAGAATGAGTCAGTAGGTTTGGGTATTGAGGATGACAGACCACACCCTTGAGAGTGTGCAGACAAACAGAATAGAATGCAAAGATGGTATGCAAACAGCTAAAACCTATTGATTGCGAGTAAATTTATACAACAAGGCTTACCGAAAACACATCGGTAACGCACAGCAGTTGTCCCGTTGGGTTCGATGCTCGTACTACTACCGGCTGTCCAGCATAAAGAGAAAAGCTAATAGATCGGTCAGAAAGAGGGAACTCTAGTCGGGTGACGCCTTCCATACTCGACTGCACACCACTGACTTGTCGTAGCCCTACGAGGCCAACGTTGTTGGACTGGAGGCGTTGTTTGGCCAATTCAGAATAGCTTCCGAAGTTTCCGTTAGTCTTATCTGCAAGCTGCGTCGCGGAGACTGTGCTAATTTGAGCAGCAATTCGTCCGCCAACTAGATGAGGAGACTGCAGACGGACGCAGGTGGGACGAAGAAGAGTAACACGGTCCATAGGTTCTGGCTTGCTATAGACGGCCTGGGAAGAGCTCATCTTGATCGGAGTGCGGATGAATAGGCCGTTAGGATTGACCCTGAAACAAGGGAAATCAGCCAAAAATTGTATTTTTTTTGCCGACGCGAAGCTGATTGGAAGAGCGGACAGCACAGAACACTGTAAAAAAAAAGTACAAAAACCACAACACCATAAGCCCTAAACGGTTGGCACGTTTTGGTGGTCCATCTGCTCTTCAGTAGATGTCACGGCAGTCTTACAACAGAGCCCTCTTACACTCTGCCATACCGGGAAAACGTAACCATTTAACGTAGACGAACATATTGGATCACTGCCTCCAAAGCTGACTGTCATTCCGTTATTCTCCTCTTCCTCAGTAAACGAAGGTGGCACCAAAATTATTCGGTAAATGTTTCGTAGCTGAAAAACTAACTAACCGACTGACTGACTGACCGAGCCCACTGGCGAGCCTCTTGTAACTTTCTAGCAAAACTGCTTGGCCGACACTCCTGGCGTACCGGGCATGTGTTGGGGAGGTTCGCTAAAAATTCTTAGTTCCATTTATGCTGTCTTGCTCTAAAATGCTCCTAAGATGACTTTACGACAATATTCTGGAAACCTGCTGGACCATGCTCTTGGCAGTTTTCTCCAGGAAAACAGGACTATTAGCAGTAATTCTGCTATCCCGTTTCTTTTCAAATTTTTTGCACGGTCTTCCTGAACCATGGTTGTACGTCAGTTAGGCACCGGTTTCTACGACTGGTGGTGATTACCGATGATTGTGATTAACTTCGCATTGCTTCTTGAAGGATGCCCACTACAACATCAGTTAGGAGGGGCTGAATAGCTGGGCGCAAGTCAGTAGTGCCACCGCGAAGTCGCAGTACGACAGTGAAACCGACGAGGTGTTGTCGTAGCAAGCTAACCATAGACAACTTCCGTCACGATTTGGAGTGACTAAGCTGGTGACCCAGTCCGAATCTGGTTGCACAGGTGTATGTGCCTGCGATTGTACTCAATAAAGCACGCCCAGCCCCAGTGTCCCGTTTCGTTCCGTTTTAGCTTAGTAACCACAAACCACTTACCAAGAGTACGTTCTTCTCATGCACTGGAGATTATGGCATAATCAGTTGGTTGATGTTTATAATTCTAGTTGTCTGGATCAACAAGGAATTGGGCAGCTATGCATTGAAGCAACAGCGATGCAGGAGCGCCGCTGACTGCGTGACTGAGCCACGTCTATCATTAACCACTGGTCAGTTGAGCTCCAGAATTCCCATCCATTTGCCAACCCGACTGAGTTTGCAAGTTGATGCTCTCATACTCCGTTGCCACGGCATAGACTTCGTCTCTCGGTCGCTTCCACTCAGCACAAGGCTTAGTAAAAGGAACACTCCAAGGTGAACGGTCCTCTGACGTGTGATGTCCCAACCAATGTGGCCTAGGAGGCGTGAGTAGTCAAACTCCGAGTGTTCTTACACAGCCTACCCAACCAGGTGCACTCCATTACGCTGACCATGGATCCTTAGAAAACTTGTGACGAGTTTAAACCGACCACTGAAACTGAAGAACTTAGACGCTGAACATGAAATTTTTCGAGCGTTCTACTGTGCCTTCAGTAGAACTGACACTATATTGCAACTTTGGTGTACACGCGCAGTGTGGTCGCTCCAAACGAAGACACATTCTGGCAATCCGAGCATTTGATTCAGTATCGACTGACAGTCCTGTAAACAGGATGCTATCAAGATATCAGTGTGATAGCACGCTGCCGTAACCACTAATTAAGAAAAAGGGAGCCTCTACAGAACCCGGGAAGGTTAATAGATGATTAAACGTGGTTTGAGAGATTCATCTTTAGAGGAGGAGGATATGTTACTGGGACAAATTCTGTGATTATTCGCTAGAATTCCACCTCCGTGAACCTAAACAAAAACAAAAATATCTGGAAAAGAGTGCACACGGAGCTTCAACATATGCAGCCCCGTACTGTTCATAAAGATCCTCGACCTAAAACCATGATTGTGTAGACCATCCATACAGATTGATCAGGATGATACTGGATGCGCAGGCTAGTTTTCGAATCACGAAACTACTACGCGACAATCCCAGAAAGATCGGTAATGTAATAAGTGGGGGCTGTGCTAATTTCGAACTCGATAGAGATGATACAATTAGGTACTCGTGACTTCACATTGAAGCAAATGAAATCGATAGCATTAGGTGAATTTACGGGACAGCGGAGCTGCTGCAGGATGACCCACAGCGCCGCCTAGCCAGTAACAAAGCTTTTTGTGAAATCGACGAAGATTCATCTGTTCTCGACGTCCTCCTTGCTGCAAAGCCAAGGTTGACCGTGCTACATTAGCCTCAAAATCCACCACATGGTTCATTCGAAGCATGGACGCTCAGAATATCAGCGTTCAGCCCGTCGGGCAGAACGTCGGAAAGGGTTTTACTTGCGGTGCAGAAAAGGCATTCGTCGATATTTGTAGCCTTCTGTCGGATTTTCTGTCCTTTGATTTGCGATACGATGGATACGATGTCCTTTATTTCTCGTGTGATATTCCCAGGTTCCCAGATTGTGCAAGCAGGCGACAAGCTTCGTGTTCCAACATTTGCCCACCAAGTTTGAGAACTTTGGTAGGTAACATGACTCCTCCGGTAGACTTGCAATTTCTCAGTTCACTGGTGCTTATCACTACATCACTATCAGAGTGAAAATACCATCACCAGTACATACAAACAGATCTCTGGTTAATAAGACATTTCTTGAATGGTTAACAACAAACTCTATTAAAGAGTTTGAAGCCCCTCGTTGGTATAGTTTACAGCGATCGGAATATCGATGTAGAGAGAATCGATAGTGACTAATAAATCAAGCATGTTTTCCAACAAGCGACAATTAAGATTGGGTGAATAAACAAGTAAGAGTTGGGTGAAAAGTAGATAGTCCCCTGAGATAAATTAACCCAGTCATTCAGCCTATCGCGAATATCGGGTTGAGTGCCAGTCTAGAAAATGAACCAAGAAGGGGTCCATGTATTAATTTTATTTTACCTAGCTTGCTACGGAGAATTTCGGCGGGGTAAAGATAAAAGGGAGTAACCCTATACATTCTCACCACCGTACAGATGGAACCAGCGCCAAAGACTGCCGAAGACGTGCCCATAACCCTGGTGATCTGAATGACAGCAAACAGTGGCACCTTACCTTCCACTCGGTTGTGAATCCGAAATAGGGTCGGGGTTCGGTGTGATTAAAGATTCGTCGGGTAGGTTATTCATTGCACGTTTAATCAGTTCCCAAGTCCAGTTGTCCAAGACTGGAAAACAAAGTGTATATTCTGAAAGTTACTCGACGTAAAGGATAAACTTCGGCTTTAAATCTTAACAGTTTCCCACTACTCACGACATGTATGTGTCATTCGATGGGGCGAACGAAAGTGATCCTTCCCAACAGCATTCTCCGCAAAAAAGGTTCTACCCTCAGTTCGCTCCCTTAATTTGGATTTCCTCCAGTGTTATCCAGTCGACGTGTTTGAACGAGAGGAAGGTAACTTTCTCGAAACCAGTTAGGTTTTCATTCATATCAGCGAAGTGAACGACGGACTTAGCAGAGAAACTCTCCTACAGGATAGTTTCTCGGCAAATGTCATCATCACTGTATATATAGATGATTGGGGGGCTATGAAAAATGGTATTCGGGTGAGAAATTTGCACCAAACTAATAAGTAGCTACATTTCTATCACTGAAAAGCTAGTCTCTAGCTCTGGGACAATCATTGTATTAGACGGCATGAAAAACAAGGACACAAGTTTTGCTCTTGGTAGAGCTCAGAGGCAGTGAATGTGCACAAGTATCCACGGACGCGAGTAGATGGACAGAAAACCACCTAGGGGCATGATTGCTCAACTAAAATGATACATTAAACCACGCCTTGATCGGAGGAAAAACTTGACACTTCTGGAAGAACGTACTTTCTGCTTTCTCAAGGGTCGGTTGGTGCATGTATCTAACCGGTGCATGGAAAGGGTCTATGTCGCTGATAGTCCATTCAGCAGAAGGGACGCGTTCCTTCGCAGAAAACGTCTCTGTACTTCCGGCGCTTGACAGGTAAGTACAGATTGGCTCGTTGCTTGCATTGGCCTCCAAAGAGATGTTCTCTAAACAAAGAAAAATGGATGAAAATTGTCGAGGAAATGCCTTTGTTTGAAGTCCGTAAAGTTCCTGGGAGCTGAAATTTCGGGACAGTAGAGTTGGGTATGTACGAGCTGAATAGATTCTGCTGTTCGTTTTGCGATTCAGTAGCCATTCTTAAGCGTAAAAATAAACTACAATGAAATGAAAACTTACAGCTCTTCCAGCATTTTCTGAGGTAGAATGTTCACCTTTGGAAGCGCGGTCGGTATGTTTTTGGGAGTCCTGTGTCTGGAGCTCTCCAATCGAGCGGAGATCTGACTGTGTAAGAGGGGATACAATAAAGACGTACTTCTCTGTCGAAAAGCTCAACATGCTTGTGTTCAACTAAATCGGGTAGCTTTGCGTTGCGCTGGAAGGCCACGTATTTTTCGACTAAGGAGGCCTCGTCTACATCCCACTTTAGTCCTAGTTGGAAAACTACGAAAGTAGAAACATCACATGAGGATACACAGCATACGTTTTTGTAGCACATTGGAATCAGTAGTACGCAGCCCAAACCCATGCAGTTCTTCCGAAAGCACGCCAGTGTCCTCCATCTGGGTGAACAGGACTGAACACTCTTATGCTAAAATCCAATGCGGAAATGCGGTTAGTGAGGGGAAGCAAAGTGCGATGCGTATAAGTATTCAACTGTCGTACAGGAGGAAAGCGTCTGTGGACACAGGTGAGGTAGCTTTTTCAAGCTACCCATGTGAACTTAGTCGCCGCAGTGACAGCAGCCCAGACACTAACCATTAGTCTAAAAAGAACCCGTCACGGCAAACCACGGAGTGACAAGGTGACCAAGAACCACAGCGCGAACGCCATACTAACAAGTCGTATTCACGCTAATGTTGTCGGTAATTTATAACCCTGAATAAGATGAATGCAAGAGATGCAAATTTGTTGAGCTTTTGCTGTGAAGATGATGCGGTCAAAGAATGTCCAGTTTGCACATAACATTCTGGTGCCAATGAAGACGTTTTCAAAGTGTGCGGCGACTCCCAGACAAGATAGATCTTCCTAAACAAGGGTTTAAATGCATCAGGAGCAACAAAAGTAAAGACAGTTTGTAGGTGGCTTCCAAAACCCTCCACATTTTATAGGCATACTCGATCGAGTATGTCATGGACATACTCGGACATGTCGACATGCCCAGACTCTAGCACCCGGAGTGGGTTGTTAGTGGGTAGCTCGTCAAAAAAGAGTCAGCACCTCGGAAGATCCCACAGAAGATCTATCACTCACTCAATCTTAGGCGGCGTTCAGAATTCGTCATTCTTCTCATCTAATAGGATACATCATTACCACCGTACACAGTTGTGTTCGCCGAAGACGAACACAATTTTCCGACCTGCTGTGCGAATGAGCAAGAATGACCATATTTTTACCTCCTGATAAAAAGCTGGAGAGGTGTTTGACACATGGTTTATTAAGATCGTCTATAAGATTGTAGATTGAGATCCAAGTAACTGTTAAGTAGCTGAACAGGTACGACCAACAACTATACGCTGCTTGAGAACAAGCGCAGCGTTGGCCCGAGCCCAAACAGTCCTAGCGCGTTGAGAAGAAGAAACGGTTTTCGGGGAGGGTTCTACTGCTTTAACCAAAAGCAAAGCACGAAAAAGGCAATGGCCAATAGGAAAGAGGCATCATTCTTTCAGAAAAGGCGCTGAACCTAAAAATTCAACTTTCAAATAAAATCTAGGGTACCCAGTATTCGCACAATGGAATTGAATTTCCAAAACCGAGGACATGTCCCTGGTGGACTAAAGCAATCTGACAATTGAGTTCAGAGTACCAGTCTAAACTTCTGAGCCCTATTTAGGCATCCCGGGGCCTCAGCGGCGCATCACGGATTCACGGATTGGTACACAGGACCGAGGATTTTGTCCAAGTATCCCGTGTTGGTTTTATTCTTGTCGTCCAGCGGCTGTCGTTCACCTTAAAGGTACAAGTGAAAAGGGTGTAGCACTGCCTTTTATGTTCTCAGCGCTGGGCTGTATGTTCGCCAGCGCTAGGATTCGCATAAATAAGTGTCTAATATAGCTTTCAACTGGGTTCCAGAAGCGACGTGGACAACCGTGAGAGTGTACTGTCTGTAATTCGTTATCACATTTACTAACCATTGTTCTTGAACTTAAACTACATTTTGTAACTGCTGTTTTTTACCTGTATTTACTTCCATTACTTCCATTATAACACTACGTATTTCATCAATTGCATAATCGTTTTTTGTTTGAATACGAAAAACTATAAAAACGCGCACTTGTACAATTTCAC